TTATACCAATAAATTCTCTGATTCTATTGACAAGAGAAATACTATGGATTGAAGTGAAAAGTAAATGTCATGTTCCTTCTCAGTCTTATCTTCCAGAAATAACTACCAATAATGCTTTCTTATGTATTCTTCTACAGATTTTCTTTTCTTTTTCTTTCTTTTTTTTTTTTTTTGAGATGGAGTCTTGCTCTGTGGCCAGGCTGGAGTGCAGTGACAGGATCTCGGCTCACTGTAACCTCCATCTCCGGGTTCAAGTAATTCTGCCTCAGCCTCCCGAGTAGCTGGGATTACAGGTGCCCGCTACCACACCCGGCTAATGTTTTTGTATTTTTAGTAGAGATGGCATTTCATGGTGTTAGCCAGGATGGTCTCGATCTCCTGACCTCGTGATCTGCCCGCCTCAACCTCCCAAAGCGCTGGGATTACAGGCGTGAGCCACTGCGCCCAGCCTCTTCCACAGATTTTCTATGCATGTACTAGGAGATACATACACACCCATCCATACGCAAACATATACACACATGTGATCATATTATTTACATTTTTTCAACTTTTTCATTTTTAAATGAAAATGCTTTTTTCATTTAAAATGTCTAGAACATTTACCATATAATTTTCCCTTTTATTCTTTCTCTAGCATCAGACATCCGTAGAGAGTTCCATCATGTGGTTGTACATTCGTTTCTCAAACAATCTCATATTGCAGGATATTAAAGTTGTGCGGCAGATGCAGCGAGTTGTCATTTCTACTTCTTTCTGATGAGGAGAACTCCGACTTTGTTCAAGATAGTAATAGTCTCAACTAAACCTATGAGTGTCCCCAGGATCCCATGTAGGTAGGAGTGGCACGTGACACTGTCTGGGCTCAATGGAATTACAGTATTCCATTGTCGCTGGTGAAGGGTGTCCAGGTTCTTGGCATCTTGAACAAAGAATTGGACAAAACACACAAACAAAGCAAGGAAAGAATGAAGCAACAAAAGCAGAGATTTATTGAAAATGGAAGTATACTCCACAGGGTGGGTGCTGGTCGAGCATAGGGGCTCAAAAGCCTGGTTACAGAATTGTCTGGGGTTAAAATACCCTCTAGAGGTTTCCCACTGGTTACTTGGTACACCCTATGTAAATGAAGTGTGGCCCACAATCAGAGGCTAAAGTGAAGTTACAAAAGTTATAGTCCTGTGCTTTCTGCAACCAATCAGAGATATGTTCAATTTTCCATCTGCCAGGCAGAAAAAGTGGGTGGAGGGTTTACAAAGGGAGTAGCCTTCTGCACTTTTGTTTCTTAGTTGTGGAAAGTTGGGGTTTTCCTTTTGACTTAGTCCCAAATCGATCTTAGGTTCCCTGCCTCCAGATCCTGTTCTCCTGCCTCACCATTGTATGGGCACATCATAATTTAGCCAGTCAGGGAAAGCAGACTCAGTTTGAACATGGAGGTTGTTTTTAAATGGTTGCTATTATAAAATAAGCTTCAATCATAGTTCATCTGCTTGATTCTTTCCTTAGATAAAATAATCGAGTTTGTGTGGTGGAATTTTGAGCAGAGGCTGGTGGGCAGGGAAGGTGTTTTGGGGTGGGGAGCTGCCATCTTTTTAGTCTGTGTGTTCTGCGGGCTTATCCTCCAGGATTTTGTTGGAAATATACGTTGACTCAGTGGTACATCATGCCTTGCCAATGCAATTTTTGCAGTTTATCGTACCTTCATTTTCTTGATGGCCTCTCCTTAGTCCCTTCCTTGCCTTCCTGCTTCTGGCATCTATGGCCAGAGGTCAGCTTCCAGTCAGTGTCTATGAGAGTCTGGATGTTACTGCCATTTGCATTCTGCCTGGCTCTGCTCTGATGATTTCAGCATGACCGGGTTAAAAGAGAAGAATGAGGAAAGTCAGTCCCTCTCGTGGGGAGGAAGTTCATCCAGGCTGCAGACAAATTTATTCTGTTGCATCTTGATATCCAAGGTGAAAGAAATTGAGGTTACACATCACAGGTAGACAGAAAGCAGAATTCTAAAATATTCCTAGCCAATTTCACTTTGTTGAAAATATGTTGCAGCGTAGATATGGACAGCAGTGATAATCAAAATACCTAACAATTAGAAGATGTGGATACCACTTATCAGAATGGATGCTGGCATTAAATAACCAGCATGGCTGTACCAGTGTGAACCAACTGAATATCAGCGGTGGTGCAGGAAAATAGGATTTTCCTTCCTTTTATCCTCAGGAACTAAATTATGAAATCCTTGCCAGCTGGACTTCATCTCAGCAGTTTATTATCTCTCCCAAACAGTTTGTGAAAACTAATCTTCCTAAATTCCCCCTTAAAAGAATATCTCTTTGATTAAATCATCAATGGATATTTATTTTTTAAAGGTCCACAATTAACATGGATGTATTGGTCAGAACTCTTTGGGTTGTAAGTGGCACAGCCCAATTAAGACTATATTAAACACAATGGGAGGTTTTTAGTTTCTGTTACTGGGAAGCCCAGGATGGAAGACTTCAGGCATGTTTGGATTCAAGCTCAAAGTTATAGTTAAGACTCCTTAATAATTATCTTCGTCCCTCTTTATATGCTACTGGCATTCTCTTCATTGGCAGATCGTGTTCTTCCAATTTGGTGGATAGAGCCATACTCATCGACAAGCAACTTTTGCACTCACCAAGGTTCTGGCACCGAGAAAGGCCCTGAGCACAGACACTTGAGCAAGCCCAGCTCCACTCCTGGAGCCAGACACCAATCAGCAGAACCTTCCAGCTGACTTACAAGCAAAAATCAATCCCTATAAATAAATAAAAATAAAAATAAATGTTCCAGAGAAAAAAGACTTCACCGCTGAGAAATGCTAGGGCAAGCAAAGTTAAGTAGGCTTTCTTTAGCATTTGACTTTCTAGGCTTTAATGCACCCTTCTGCAATGTGAAACATTAAGGAGAGGATATTGAGTACAGCATTTCAGAAATGTATTTGATCCAGCCAGGCACGGTGGCTCACGCCTGTAATCCCAGCACTTTGGGAGGCTGAGGTGGGCTGATTACCTGAGGTCGGGAGTTCGAGACCAGCCTGACTAACATGGAGAAACCACGTCTCTACTAAAAATACAAAATTAGCTGGGTGTGGTGGCACATGCCTGTAATCTCAGCTACTCAGGGGGCTGAGGCAGGAGAATCGCTTGAACCTGGGAGGCAGAGGTTGCAGTGAGCTGACATCGTGCCATTACACTCTAGCCTTGGCAACAACAGCGAAACTCTGTCTCAAAAAAGAAAAAAAAAAAAGAAATAAATTTATTTGATCCTAGAACGTTTTCACCAAGCATGATGTTTTTGGGAATACCATTAGTAAATACTATACACTTCTATTTATGGAATTAGAGTTAGATCTCAGAGTCATGAGATTGTATAAACAAATTCACGTTCACAATACTAGGCAGGAGGTAAATACTGTACTGTCTTTCAGAAGAAGGATTAAACTGAAGGAGTAGTGAATAGAAAGACCTTTATCTAAGTCCAATATAAACTTTGCCAACTTTGTCATCTGGGAACAGATACTCAGCTCCTTAGCATTCTTGAAGCCTCTGTCTAGGAACTGAATCATTCATTTCCATAATTTCAGAGCTAGAAGAGATCAAGAGGTCATCTGGCCCAATTCCCCTTTTCAACGTATGAGGAAATCAAACCAGGGAGATTAGGTACCTTTCCCAGAGCAGGGCTAAGACTTGCTAACATCATCCATTGCTCTTTTCACTATATTAAAATTTCTTCTCTTTCCTGGAAAAAGTTTAATATTCCAGCTGCCTCTAATGCCTGTTTGAGCAAATAGGGGGGCAAAAGTCCAATGTCCTACTCAGAGCCATTTTGGAATAATCCTCTTAAATTCAACTGGATATCTGCTTCCTTTGAAATTCTGATTAGTCGAGGGTGTTTGATTTTGATAACCCACCAGGGAGGAAATTATGCTCTGAGGTCCAGCAGCTGCCAGAAGCAAGCTGTCAGCTTAATACCAGCTCTCTTTCTCTCCATTTTATCAGCAAAACAGCTGTGAACAAAGGCATGGAGGGTAGAACTGGGCGAGAAAACACAACACCACCGAAAGCTGGCATGAGCTCTGTTGCTGGGAGGGTCATGAAATTTTATGATGTTTCTTAATTAGAGTCAAATATAAACATCAAATAAAACCAAATACCCGTGATGTGTGACAATAGGTCATAGATATGGGTTATCAAAGACAAAGCGTTCCTTTGTACCCTTAAAACATCGTTGTTCACTACTCATTTTATACCTATTATGCCATTGAAATGTGATCTGAAAGGGTCTGGTTGAGTTCATAAAATGGAATAATTATTCTCTCATCTCTCTCTCATTGCTCACCCTTATCCTCACATATAAGCCACAGGTAACTCAGTAAATGCTAAGAATGGCATTGGGGCGATACAGTATTCAAATTGACAACAAGGCTCACTACTTATACGCTTTCCACTTATTTATGAGTCACACTGTTTAAGCACCAACTATGTCCCAGGTACTGTGCTGGACTAGAAGGATTTGACATTGAGCAGCAACAAGCCTGGTTGGTCCTTGCTGTCAGGAAGCTAGGAGTCTTGTGTGGGAGACAGACAGTAAGAAAAAAGTTCACAAAAAATACATAAAATTACCAACTGTGATAGATGCTTTGAAAAGAAGGTACATGGTGCTGTGACTGTATAACATGACAATGTGACCTAGACCAGTGCATCTCTAACTCTGTGTGCTGAAGGACCACTTTTCCCTTCAATCTGCCTGGACTGATACTAGCATACAAATTGTGCTACATGTGACTGACCATGTGAGTTTGACAACACCTGAACTGCTCTTTGCCCTGTTCAACAAGGCAAGTCTACTGAACATGTGCTTGGATGTCATGGTAATATTAAAACACTGTAGAACTTTCTAAATGCTTATTTCTCAATTTTAACATTTATCACATTGGAAACAATTTGTAGATTGGCACCGAAGTATGGACTGCACTTCGAGCAGCTCCAACCTAGACTGTCGAATCAAGAAGGTCGTCCTGGAGGAAATGATTTTTGCCTAGTGTTCTGTGATGAATCTATGATCACTATGACCATCATAGATCACCATGATCTATATTAAAGAGCAAATAGGCAAAATCGAGATGGGAAGGAGAATTCCAGGCAAAGAGAATCCAGGAGAAGAGGAGTGTGGCTGGAACATGCAGGTGAGTGGAAGATTAGTCAAGATGAGTTTGAAGGGAAATGCCAGGCCAGGCCTATGTTATCTTTGTGTTTTCTCCATGAAAAAGGACAGGTTTTGGAAGGTTTTAAACAGTGTGATTTTATCAGATTCGAGGTGCTAAGATCACTTTGCTGCAATATGGACAATACACTAGAAGGTGTGTCAGTCTGTTTAGGCAGTTATAACAAAATACCACAGACTGTGTGGCTTATAGACAACAGACATTTATTTCTTACAGTTCTGGAGGCTGTGAAGTCCAAGATCAAGGCACTGGCAAATTCGGTGTCCAATGAGGTCTGGCTTTATGGTTCACAGATGTGGCCTTCTCGCTGCAACCTCAGGGCTCTCTTTGGGGCCTCTTTTATAAGGGCACTAATCCCAATCATGAGGGTGCCACTCTCATGACCTCGTCACCTCCCAAAGGCCCCACCTCCTAATACTATCACCTTAAGGGTTAGAATTTCAACATATGAATTTTTGTGGGACACAAATATTCAGACCATAGCAGGAGAATAAAAGTGAAAGTAGGGAAACCAGCAAGTAGACTATTGCAGTAGTCCAGGTAACTTGAGCCAAAGGGGCAGTGGATGTGTAAGAAGTGGGAGATTGAGGCTGGGTGCAGTGGCTCATGCCTGTAATCCCAGCACTTTGGGAGGCGAAGGCGGGTGGGTTGCTTGAGCCCAGGAGTTAGAGACCAGCCTGGGCAACATGGAGAAACCCTGTGTCTACAACAAATACAAAAATTAGCCAGGCGTGGTGGTGCCTCCCTGTGGTCCCAGATAGTTGGGAGGCTGGGGTGGGAGGATTGCTGGAGCCCAGGAAGTCAAGGCTGCAATGGGCCGAGGTCGCAGCACGGGAAGTGGGAGACTGAGACTGAGGATGTAGGGTAAGATTTCTGGTGGAGTGGATACAGGGTTGAAGAAGTGGGAAAGACCAAAGAGGACTCTTCTGGTAGCTAATCATCCCAATATTCCACTCTAATGCAGACAAGGAATATTGCTTCCTTTCTGTTCAGGACCAAAGGAGTCCCTTTATTCCTAAGGAAGTTTCCTGGCAGGGAATGGAATTCCATTTCCCAAGTCCTTCAGAGGCTCTGCCAATACTTGTAGATGTGCTTCACAACTGCCATTCTTTCTCCAATTAACGTTCCATTTATGGAACTAAGTGACTTCCCCTTTGAATATACATTCTTCTCTATAGTGTTTCCTCAGTTTTTTTCTTTGAAACCTTATTCTAGAAAATATTAATAGGCACTCAATGAAAAAGGAGTCTCATCAAAGAACATATTCAGGAAATACTGAGCTAAACAAGAGTCACACTGGTTTTTCTTTCAGTGCATGACTTTTCAGAGCACTTAATATGTGAATGTGCGTCTTCAGTTTCCAAGGGGGGAGAAACAAAATACAGTGTTTTCAAAACTTACTTAATTATGGGTTCCTTTTTGCCAAGATCATCTACCAGGCTAGAGTTCTATGAAACCTTCTTTGGGAAAGGATGGTGCCTGGTGACTAGAGCAGTCCCTTGTTCAGCACTGGAAGCTTGGTTCTGCTTCACATATTGGGTTCACTGGTTTATGACAGGACAATCTAGTTCCATTCCCTAAGGCACTTTTACTGAAAGGCTGAGTCAGTTTTTTGCAATCAGCAACGACACTCCCTTCTAGCTCTGTGCTGAGAATCGCTGTTCTAGCTCTAAGTGTTGGCCTGGGGGCAGCATCCTGTGTCTGTCTGGGGGCAATGTGCCACACTCAGGCAATACATGGGAAAGGAGGACCTGGAGTACTGCCTCGATGGACTTGAGTGACGTTGGTGTAACAGCCGTCCATTTTCCATTTTCGCTGACTGGGAAACAGCAGCAGTTATAAATGACAGCTATGTCTGCAGAGGCTGACCTTCTCTTCATCCTCCCTTCTCTCTGGCTTTTGAGGGTAACCAGGGGAGCAGCAAAGACCAGCGTTTTCTTTACTGGTAAATGGGTGTCATTCATCAGCAGGTGTTACAGATCCGTGCCTCTCGGACTTGAAGGTGCACGGGAATTCCCTGGGGATCATGGTAAATGCAGATTTCTGGGCCTTACTTCTAGAAATCCTTATTTGGCAGATCTGGAATGAGACATTGTCATCTGTAGTTATTTTTATCTTTATGCCTTTACTCCTATATACTTGAGTTCATTTCCCAAAAATAAGAACTATTTTCTTACATAATCACAGTACAATGATCAAAATTGGTAAATGAACCTTGTTATGACAGTGTTATCTAAATCTACAGATCTTATTCTAATCTCTCTAATTGTCCCAATCATTTACTTTCTAGCAAACCCTCCCTGAAAAAAAAAGCTCTGACTCAGGCCAAAGGGACCAGATGTTCCATGTTATTAAATTAGCCCAGGTCTAAGACAATAGGAAGCAATGGAATATGGTGGAAACGGTAGCTAACTTGGGTGAATCCCCTGCCTAAAGACATTTACTCTGAAATTTCTTAAACACAATACCAGCCTATGTTGTGGTCTCGCATGCACCCCACCTTCAGCTTCTCTGCGCCTGGCCCATACCTGCTACTATATCTTTGCAGTTTTTTTTGTTGTTGTTGAGACGGAGTCTTGCTCTGTTCCTAGGCTGGAGTGCAGTGGCCGGATCTCAGTTCACTGCAAGCTCCGCCTGCCGGGTTTACGCCATTCTCCTGCCTCAGCCTCCCGAGTAGCTGGGACTACAGGCGCCCGCCACCTCGCCCGGCTAGTTTTTTATATTTTTTAGTAGAGACGGGGTTTCACCAATTTAGCCAGGATGGTCTCGATCTCCTGACCTCGTGATCCGCCCGCCTTGGCCTCCCAAAGTGCTGGGATTACAGGCTTGAGCCACCGCGCCCGGCCTATATCTTTGCAGTTTGAGGCTTCCTGAGCTATGTGATTTCCCTGTCCACAACTCTCTCACTCCCCTAACAGAATACCCCCCTGTGCCAGGCATCACAACCATTATGCCTACGGGTCAGTTATTATGCCCATGAGGCAATCTTTGATCCATTCAGACAAATGGATAAATGCTAGTTAGAAATGCCAGGTGGGCTTGTGAGTTTTTAAGCTTGTTAAACACAGGATGCTGCAATGCGGTTGAAGTGGTTGGTGTCAAGAAACACTCCGTTAAAACTAAGGAGGTGGTTCTGGTAGCTGGTGGGAATCAGGTGTCATCCCAGTCATTCCATGTTTCTGAGGAAAACAGCAGCCAATAGCAACACAATAAAGTTTTGATTAGATGCAACTAGAAGAAATTGCCTTCCTTCAGAAAGGCATTCTCTTCCCTCGTGTTTTGAGGAAGTTGGCTATGCAGAAGACAAAAGCCTGACTTTTCTGCTTACTGGAACGTGGACCATTAAAGCCACGTTGCTAGCACTCCCATTGATTTGGTGATTTAACTCCGAGAGTAACCTTATTTTTAATTTCTTGGAGGGCGTCTCCCCCGTGGCTTCCAAGTAACAGCTAAGGTTCCCAATTAATCAAAATAACTTCCTTGTCACCTTTGCTCCCTTTCCCTGATATCGTCTTAACACCAGGCAATGGTTCTGGAAAACAAAAGACATCTTTGGTATTAATTATGCGTGTGGCAGTGGAGGGTGGCTTCTAGAATGTATGCACATTTAGGAAAATGGTTTGATTATTTAAAACTGTGTTCCTTCTATGTAATGATTCCCAGGCATCGAATCAATGCCAGGGCACTAATTGGATTAGAACTTTATTGAAGAGACATCTAGTGGGGCTGAGGCAGAAAATTGTCGCTGAATTCTGCATCACTGGGGCTGGAGGATTGAGTGCCAATAGGGACCTCTAGTGTTCTGCAAAGGTTCAGACTTGATAATGCGAAGATTGTTTAGATGACTTTTCCTATTTTCCATGTGTCAAACGGGAGTATGCTTTTATTCAAAACTTGCCATTCTCTCTATGAAGTAAAGAGGCATAGCCTATTCATAGTTTCTGTCTAGGTATTTTTAAGTCGATGAATTTAAATAAAGACAATGTTTTCCGTGGAGCACCAGGATACACTGTTTCCATAGGCCTATAATACCAGATCTTATTTACTGTGCTTTCCGCAGATTGGCACCAGACTCAGCACTGCACGTGAGTTGCTTCTCTTTTTTTTTTTTTGAAATGGAGTTTCGCTCTTGTTGCCCAGGCTGGAGTGTAATGGCGCAATGTTGGCTGACTGCGATCTCTGCCTCCAGGGTTCAAGTGATTCTCTTGCCTCAACCTCCCTAATAACTGGCATTACAGGTGAATGCCACCACGCCCAACTAATTTTTGTATTTTCAGTAGAGACAAGATTTCGCCACGTTGGCCAGGCTAGTCTTGAACTCCTGACCTCAGGTGATCCACCCGACTCAGCCTTCCAGAGTGCTGGGATTACAGGCGTGAGCCACCGTGCCCGGCCAGGTTGCTTCTTTTAACCATTATTAATTGTACTATTATTTTTCATTTTTCCAGTGAAGACACTGAGACAAATGAAGGTGAAGTTACCAAGTGTAGGTAATTCTTCAGTGGTAGGGCCGGTCCTTGGTCTCATATCTCCCTTAATTCCAAAGCCTGTTTTCTGACCTGGCAAACTTTTAGCATAAATCTGAAGGGTAGACTAAAAGGTCACCCTTCTCCCTTCCCTGCTTCTCTCCTTTTTTTTCCTCCTTCTCTTTCTTCTTTCCTCCCTCCTTTTCCTTCTAGTTTGCTCCTAAAGGGAAACTTTTTCTTCCTTCCCGTTTTTTCTTTATTCTCCCAAACTAGCAAATTTATCCATTTTCCATCAGAAGCTTGGTGACATTTGCAGAGGGAGAGGATTCTTTTTTTTTTTGCCAGGGTTACACTCAGAATGGCATTTTGACAACTGCCAGGAATTGGCATGTTTTGTCTTGACATTGCTAAATAATCTCCCACATGAAATCAAAGCAGATATTTCATATGTCACTGCTGGGTAATGGCTTTTCTTGGGTTGTATCCAATCCAGGGAATTGGCATTGTTTTATTTCCCTGATGAAAACTGTTATTTGGCCCTTTCTAGCTCTTAAATTATTCTATCTTAGAATTTCTATCTGAGCTGAAGAGGTAAATCTGTTTTAAAGAGCAGGTACTTTTTGCTAAAACAGAGGCATTGAGGTGAAGTGAATCATTCATTAGAAGTTGAACATTTGGAAGTCTTTAAACTTAATACAGTGCCTGGAATCTCACGGCTTCCTCAATCGTGAATTTTTTTTTTTTTTTTTTTTTTTTTTTTTTGCTTTGTTTTGTTTCAGTTTTGAATGAAACCTAGGAGGAAGCTTTTTAGGCCTTTTGTTCAAAAACATATGATTAGGGCCGGGCGCAGTGGCTCACACCTGTAATCCTAGCACTTTGGGAGGCCAAAGGGGGTGGATCACAAGGTCAAGAGCTTGAGACCAGCCTGGCCAACATGATGAAATCCCGTCTCTACTAAAAACACAAAAATTAGCTGGGCGTGGTGATGTGTGCCTGTAATACCACTTACTCGGGAGGCTGAGGCAGGAGAATCACTTGAACCTGGGAGGCGGAGATTGCAGTGAGCTGAGATCATGCCACTGCACTCAGCCTGGGCAACAGAGCAAGACTCCGTCCAAATGAAACAAAACAAAACAAACGAACAACAACAACAAACATACGATTAGGCCATATATGGGCAGGTTGTGATTTGGGTGGTTGAGGGGACACTCCACACAGATCTTGATCTGACGGCATAAGCAACTCTTCTGTCTGCCTAGCATCTTTCTGTTGGAAATCCCAGCCTCTCGTGTCTGTGGAGTGGTCACACACATGGCCATTTTCCCAGACAACTGAGCATTTGAGCCAGATTGAACAATCATGCCTCATCCTCCCCAGTATAGTGATGTGTCCTGTAGTGGGCATCTAATCCAAGCAGAGGCACTCAGTGTCATTTCAGAGTCATTGATACGGGGCTGCACTGAGAGAGTCATTCTGAAGATTGCAGAATCAAAGAACCATTTAAACATGAAGCTGCAGAGATAATTTGCGCTGCCCAGTGTAGAAACTTTGTTTAGGGAGGAGGGAAGCAGAGCCTGAAGACGAAGGTAGAGCAAGTGCATCTTAAGGACATCATCTGATGTCCTGGATCCAGCCATACCTGAAGTAGAAACCAACTTTTCAACTTTTCAGTTGTAAGAGCCAGTACATTCCCCTTTGTGTTAAATTAGTTTGAGTTGAGTTTTCGTCACTTGAAATTGGAAGTGTCCTGACGAATACAACAACATATGTAGAAATTTCTGGTTGAACAAACAGGAAGTGAAGAAATAGGATTCATTCACCCTTGATATTGATCCTCTTCCAGGGAGGATCTCATGAAGGCCAGTAAATTGTCTCCTGGTATCAACTGTGCATGAATCAAGAATTCTTTTTGTTCCTGCTTTTCCGCCAATGTGAAATCCATATGAAGTAACTGAAAGTTGCCTAGTCAGTCTTTTGATTCTTCTCCATCACCTGCTGCAGGTCACTTCCATATAACTAAGGACGGAGTCGTTCCGATCACAACTTTTAATAAGAGTTAGTACTTTGGGAGGCTGAGGTGGGCTGAGATTGGGTAATCTGAGGTAATCTGATTGGGATTGGGAGTTCAAGCCCAGCCTGGGCAACATGGTGAGACCCTGTCTCTGCAAAAAATAGAAAAACTAGCTGGGTGTGGTGGCGCATTCCCGTAAACTCAGCTACTTGGGAGGCTGAGATGGGAGGGTGGCTTGAGCATGGAAGGTCGAGGCTGCAATGAGGTGTAATTGTGCCATTGCGCTTCAGCCTGGGTGACAGAGTGAGACCCTGTCTCAATAAATAAATAAATACATACATACATAAACAAAGAAACAAATTTTAGTGATATTGAGTTCTTTGAAATTGAATTGCACTGCACTGGTTCCCATACTATTTACCACCAAGAACAAGAACAACTTTTATTTTTTTCTATGTGAAAGATTTTCTTTACAAAAGCATCACAGTTGCTAAATAATAAAGACTTTATTTATATTTGTATGTAATATAATATTTATGTATTATTTGTTTCTGCCATAGGAAGTAAATAAACACATATATAGGAACTGCTTAACATTTGCTAAAAACAGCTTTCTACACAGAACTGATATAATCCCTGCTATGAACAGCAATCTTTAGAATAATGTTATAGTTTCTGTTAGGATTTTTGCAATATTGTATATATTGTAAATATAAATATATTGTAAATATTGCACACGAAATATATATGTATATATACAACTCTCTCTTTGGAGACTCTAAACTGGGTACATCTGACCGATTAAACACTGCTATTATGTTAATTACTAAGAAGATAAAATGACATAGACCCTGTTGTAATGGAATTTATAATTCAGTTTATAGGGGAAAAAATAACCCTTTTTCCTCTACCCTTTTAGGTTCACTGGAGCACTGCAAATTAGACTGACAAAAGACAGATTATCGGGAGAAAAAAATACAAAGAAGCTAATAGGCTGAAGGGTTTATATACCATTTTAAACAAAGAATGATAAACTGTGGAGACTTGACAGGAAAAAAAAAAGGGTTTGAGGCTTTCCAGAGCAGTCCACTACGGGAAGGTAAGTATATGGGGAGCTTCATGGAAGCCAGGGGCTGTCTTGGCAAGGTGTGTGTGTTCAGGTCCATCTCAGCGGTAACTTTCTGTCTTCTTCATGGCCTTAACAATTCCCTTGGAGAGGCAATTTACGGCAGTCCTCATTTCCCGGGAATTTCTGATTTTAGTCAGATTTTTTAAGAAAGAGAAGCTCTTGGAAGACTTCTTTCTGCATCTGTCGGATCTCAAAATAGTCCCATGCCAAAGTGGCATATTTTGGGGTGGCATATTTACCAATCCCCTTCAGGTTTCATTCATCCCTTCACCAAAAATTTACCCACTGCTTATCAGCCAAAATTCATTGAGATACAAAGTTGACTGACACGTGGCTTCTGCTCTCAAGGAACTTACAACTTGATCCACAAGGCACTTGCATTTCTGAAAGTAATGCAACTCTCAGGCTGTTATAACTAAATGCTGTAATAAGGTAGTATGTATCTTATGCATTAGAATAATTAGGTTTCCATGGGAACACTGCTATAGCCCCTGGTCAGCCTGCTGTGCTCAGTTACTCCTGGCTCTTGTGACAATAGAGGTAAAGGTGACACAGTATATCCACAGAGTGATCACCATTACTCAGCAGCAACAGGACTAGCATGTGTTATGGACCTGTGGGGAAGGAACTGAGATATGGCAAGAACCAGAATGTTACATACAGGAGGCATGGTTTGTCACAGGCTGTTTTTCAAATGATATAAATTAGTTATGCTGGATTTTCAGGGTGATACGGTTGGCGTTAGATGAGGCTGGGTAGGGCTCCACTCGGAACTTGTTACTGGAAAGGGGTCCTGATCCAGACCCCAAGAGAGGGTTCTTGGATCTTGCGCAAGAAAGAAGTCAGGGTGAGTCCATAGAGTAAAATGAAAGCAAGTTTATTAGGAAAGTAAAGGAATGAAGGAATGGCTACTCCACAGGCAGAGCAGCCAGGCTGGTTGCCCATTTTTAAGGTTATTTCTTGATCATATGCTAAATAAAGGTTGGAGTATTCATGCCTCCTCCTTTTACCCACATAGGGTAACTTTCGGTCATTGCCATGGCATTTGTAAGGTGTCATGGCGCTGGTGGGAGTGTAGCAGTGAGGTTGACCAGAGATCACTCTCCTCTCTTGGTTTTGGTGGGTTTTAACTGGCTTCTTTACTGCAATCTGTTTTATCAACAAGGTTTTTATACCTGTATCTTGTGCCAACCTCCTGTCTCATTCTGTGACTTAGAATGCCTTAACCTCTTGGGAATGCTGCCCATCAGGTCTCAGCCTCATTTTACCCAGCCCCTATTCAAGATGGAGTTGCTCTGGTTCGAACACCTCTGACAAACTCACCATAACCTTGTGGAACTTGTTAAAATAACTTAATAAGAGGTCATTAGGCTGGGATGATTCTATCGCCCTGCATTCCTATGTAAAGAAATTGAAACTTCAGCTCAGCCCATCACAAGCCAACTGAGCATTATATTACCAGGGACTTTCTGCTGAGATAATCCAAATAAGGCAATATCTGATCTGAACCAATTAAATATTTTCTTTGCCTCACTTTTGCATTCAGCCTATAATAGGTTTTCTCTTGCACTTCTTTGGCAGGGCCCTGACCACTTCTGGTTTGGAGCTGCCCTGTGTGTGAATTGCTGTCTTCTCAAATAAACTCTTAATATTTTAATATGCCTGTTTGTTTTTTAACAGATCTCACTCTGGATGATTAAACACCAATACCACCAACCTGAGTAGGCCTTCCAGGAAATACCGGGGACACTAAGAAGCCACACCCACTGAACCATTCTATGGTCACTCAGCATTTGAAGCAAATTGGAAAGGTGAAAAAGCTCGATAAGTGGGTGCTTCATGAGCTGACCGAAAGTAAAAAAAAAATTGTCATTTTGAAGTGTCATCTTCTCTTACTCTATGCAACAACAATGAACCACTTCTTGATTGGATTGTGATGTGCGAGGAAAAGTGGATTTTATGTAACAACTGGTGATGACCAGCTCAGTGGTTGGACCAAGAAGAAGCTCCAAAGCACTTCCCAAAGCCAAACTTGCATCAAAAAAAGGTCATGGTCACTGCTTGGTGGTCTGCTGCCAGTCTGATCCACTACAGCTTTCCGAATGCCTGGGAAACCATTACGGCTGAGAAGTATGCTCAGCAAACCAATGAGATGCACGGAAAACTGCAGTGCCTGCAGCCGGCATTGGTCACCAGGAAGGGCCCAATTCTTCCCCACTGCAATGTCCGACTGCACATCACAACCAACGCTTCAGAAGTTGAACAAATTGGGCTACGAAGTCTTGCCTCATCTCCCATATTCACCTGACCTCTTGCCAGCCGACTACCATTTCTTCAAGCATCTCAACAACTTTTTGCAGGGAAAATGCTTCCACAACCAGCAGGATGCAGAAAATGCTTTCCAAAAGTTTGTTGAATCCCGAAGCATGGATTTTTATGCTACAGGAGTAAACTTATTTCTCATTGGCAAAAATGTATTGATTGTAAAGTTTTCTTTTTTGATTAAAGATGTGTTTGAGCCTAGTTATAATGATTTAAAGTTCACGGTCCAAAACCGCAAGTACTTTTTGCACCAGCGAGATGTGTGTATGAGAGGCTTATTTCACCCAGCCTCTTTTCCAGTCATCTGTAGAATTATTTCAAGCACAGGAGGGACCCTACTTCATATTGGGGAGGATTAAGGAAGACTTCCTGGAGGATTGTCTCAGAGCTTGCTGCAGGTGCATATTGAAAAGCAATTCATTACAATTTTCTATAAGAGACTGTGGCTGAACAGTCTGATACACAGGTATGGTCAGAACTTTGTGTAACAATTTCTCTGTCACGTGTGTAGAAATCTTAAGGAAAGGAATACTCTCTCTCAGCAAGCTGAGTCCTGTAGCCAGGTACCTTGGGTAGTGTTTCCTGAATCTTTAAAACCCACTGACTTCAAATGGCATGACTTCCAGACTACAGAGGTGGGTATAAAGAGCAACTAAGCCCCCCACACCCTTAAAATCACATCTTGTCAAAATCATGAAGACTTTCAGAACTTGTGGATTCATTCCTCTTTCCATTGCCACTGCAAAATCTCATAGGAAATTTTTCTCTGTATGTAAAGAAGGAAATCATGCTCTTGCAGCTGCATCCTGAGTAATCACTTTTGAGATAAAACTATTTTTTTAGCCATAAAGACTATATTTGAATTTCACCAGCTGCTTTCTTAATGATTACTGGTCTATTTTGATAATGGCACCAGCTTCAAGAAAGGTGGTGATGCTACCTAACCTTTCTTCTTTCTTTGATAAGAAAGAGTTTTGCATCAGGGGAGATTACACTTATTTAATGTAATCCAGATGTCTCCTTTCTCAGTGTTCTCCAATTCTGCCAGCCTCATTGATGACTCCAACTATTACTATTCAAATACAAATGGCTTGCATATGTAAAGGGAAACTCAGAATACTTTGCTATTAATTTTTTCTTTTCTTTTCCTTTTTTTCCTTCCTTCCTTCCCTCCTTTCCTCTTTCCCTCTCTCTCTCTCTCTTTCTCTCTCTCTTTCTTTCTTTCTGACGGACTCTAGCTCTGCTGCCCAGGCTGGAGTGCAGTGGCACGATCTCAACTCACTTGCAATCTTCGCCTCCCAGGTTCAAGCTATTCTCCTGCCTCAGCCTCAGAGTAGCTGGGACTACAGGCATGGGCCACCATGCTCAGCTAATTTTTGTATTTTTAGCAGAGATGGGGTTTCACCATGTTGGCCAGGATGATCTCCATCTCTTGACCTCATGATCCACCCGCCTCGGCCTCCCAGAAGCTATTCATTTTCTATGAAAGTTCTCAGGGGCAGGGTGGGGTGGGATGTGGTAACTTTCTCCTAGGTTCTCTGATTTTGGTGAATTCTTAATCTCACTTCTCGGTCTCAGGTGGTTTTCTTTTCTCAAAACTGAAACACAGCTGCTTCTTTTCCTTTATCTTCCCTAAGTGCCTTTACAGAAAGCATTTGTGTGTAGTTAAATTTTACAAACGGTTTTTGAAAACAGAGATTGCATTGCTGGAGAGCATAGCAAATTCTTTAAAACTAAATATGGGATATCACCATTGATTTCTAAATGCAGATAGCCCCAGCCCTTTTCATCAGCGAGAATTTCTCTTGAGCTCTCTTCTCCTGGGCCTCCCCATTCCATTTTCCTGAACTCTGGTCCTCCTGCCTTCTCTCTTTACCTCCCTATTTCCTCTACCAGCTTATGTCCCCACCATCTCAGTCTGCCCTTAGAAACTTATTTTTTTCTTCTTGCATCATTATGCAGAGAAACAAAGTTACTACTGGTTTCCTGGTTTTCCTTCTGAACAATATTTCAGAACCTATTTTATTTTATTTCTTTACAGCCAAATGGCTCTTCAAAGCATTTTGCTAAGGAAAAAACACTTTCCTCTTAAGAAAAATTTCATCAACAACTTTTACACTTGATCTTAGCCAAAAGGCTGAGAAGCAATCATCAACAGCCTTTAAAATGAGAATTTGTCATCTCCTTGGTACATTAAAGTCTATATCATATCCAGATTTTAGTAACTAATCAGCATTACTTTTATAGTATTGCAAAAATAAGGCTATATTTTGAAAATCACTAAGTAAGGAAACATAAGACTCAATATGGTCAGATTTTAAGTTCATGTTCTTTCCATCTTTTTTGGTAATTTCTGCATATTGCTTCTTGAGGAAGAGATTCCTTCCCACAAGCAGCCTCATTGTATTTTTCTTTAAAAGTTTTTTTTTTTTTTTTGGTAGGCATTTATTTCCAGGAAACTGTGGGTTAGCTTGAGACGGATATTAAAATTAAAGTTATAAACCTGAGGTTGCCTCTGACATGTGCAAAAAAGTAGGGAGTTTGGGAAGAGGTGAAATGATCACTTACTTGCTACCATCTTTGCTACAGCCAGAAATTAACACTTGGAAGCAAAATCTAGGAACACCATCTGAGACAAAGTTGTTTCTGGCCTGGAATCATAAATATTCATTATTGGTGCCCTGTCCCATCTCAAGACTGCAAATCTATTCCTTCAAATCTTACTCGGAAATGAGAGTTGATAAATCTCTGTGGTTTTAATGATGACAGCAATTCCATAAATTATTTAAAAGTGGTTTGCATTTTCTACCAGGTCATTTAATCCTCACTCACATCACGTCTCTAAGAGAATGTCCTTCTCTTGTTTGAAAAGTTTGCTAAGAAGTTCCCAGTCAGGTCAATTTTGATACAAAGACTTATCATCACAGAAGCCTCTTGCTGGGTTCACTTCCAGCCTTCTGAAATGGGTATGATCTGAACATGCTTTAGGGGGTTGAAGAACAAGGCATGTCAGCTCCATTCCTGTGCACCAACCCGCTTGTCTGCCTCAGGGTCACCATGTGACTTTGTGTAGTGACATCATCAGACAAAAGCGATGCTTCCAGGTTATGCCTGGGCCTGGACAAGGCCACTAGGGGACTGCCCTAGCCTGACTCTTTGGTCCTAAGGTATCAATCTGTTTAGCATTACATTTCTTATCCAGTTGTTTCCTGGTTTTACCACCTACAGATGTAAAACAGGTGTGTAAAATATTGTCCCATCTTAATGTCTGAGACCCCTTCCTCTGCATCAAAGGAACTCAGCACCCCTGAAAGTGTCTCTGGTCATCTCTGCAAGTTTCCCACGAGGGTTTTATAAGCACCCACAGAGCAGTTGGTCATTTTGTGGCCTCTCATACTCTTCTGTTTCTTATTTTAATTCCCACATTTCTCATCATCTATGTGTGTCAGCTGTTTTGTAGTAATACATATACAGTGATAAACATTTGCAGAGTAACTACTATGTGCTGGGTATTATTCCATAGGTCATATATATATTATTTAATGTTTATAGCCATCCTATGAGGTAGGAGCTGTTACTACTCTCATTTTACAGATAAGGAAACCAAAGTCCAGAGAGGGGCCAACAAGGAAGTGGTAGACCCTCTTGCCTTTAACCATTTTGCTATTTGCATGTTACAGTCATGTTGTAGTGTTGACTTAATCTAGAGAGTGAGAACACAGGCCTTGACAGGAGTCACACCCAGGGTCAAACTCCAGCTCAGCCACTTACTCATCAGGTAGCTTTGGCAAGCTGCTTAGCTTTTTTGACCCTCAGTATCCTTATCTGGAAATGGAGAAAATATTAGTAGTTTCCTCATCAAATTATTTTGGGGATTAAATAGAATAATGCACGTAACAACGTGAAGTGGAGTCCCTGGAGTGTTATAAGCATGCCCATAAATGTTAGCTCTGAATATGAGAGCAGTAATAATCCTCCCTGTAAATCTTTTTACAGATTAGCAAACTGAGGCTTGGAGAAATGAAAAACTTGCCTAAGATTTAACAACATTAAAGGAACAGAGGCTGGGCTTGCAACTCAGCTCTGGGACTCCAAAGTCTGCCCTTTCCAACTACATTGTCTCGCTGACCACGAGCTCAGTCGATGCTGAAGACCTGTGGTAGGTGCTATTTGGGATATGGCTTTGATCAAGAGATGCCCTGATCTTGTACACCATTACTTGTAATAAGGGCCATGTGTGAAAAGTTCCACCCGAGTGGACTAAATGACAGGCTGCTGGAGGGCTGAGCAGAGAGGAATCACGTGACTGTGAACGCAGATCATTTCTGGGTAGTCTCAAACCTTTGGCTGAGTGCCTAAATCTTCATTTCACCTCTTGCTGTGAAACTCTTGTTTTTCTTTAAACCCAAGAGTCCAACTCCACGTGTAATACAATATCATGTAAATGAGGGTAACCTTGGAAGGCAGGCTGCTTGTCATACTATAGTGGCTTTGTTGCTATAATGAAAGCCACATGCTTCATGGTACTTTTAGACTAGTTAATATTAGCAGGTCAGCTACATTTTTATTTAGCTATTGCTATTCCAGCTGTGCTTTTTCTGGTTATTTCAAGAGAATTCAGAATTTCTACCAAGCCATAAGCTTTTTCAGGAGAGTGGTGAACTGGAAGAAAATGGCCAGCACTTTCCCCTCGGCTCTCTGGTTTCCACATGGAATTTGTCATTGTTTTCCTGAGTCATTGTGAAAGGAAGACGTGGTTGACCCAGGGGTTTGTTTTCAAAGAGTAGTGGAATAAATAGGAAGGTGGAAAAAATGATGAGAAATGACTTGACTTTGTCCTGGGGCTAAGAGTAGAAAATAGGAAAGAAGGAGGAAAAGGGACATGCCTAACCACCTTGCTGAGTTCTTGAAATTTGCTGGAATGATATGGTCATGATTATGATTATGAGTATGATTGTTTTGAGAAAGGGAGGAACATTTCTTTCCATTCTTGAGTCCTCTTTGGAGTCATCTGAATCTCCAAATTTGCTTCTCAGAGAAAGTTTTATATTTCTTGGGAAAGATCTTAAATTACTTTCTTTCCCAACTAAATTGGGTCCCTCCTCCTCTACTCAACACTAAATATCCAATGTCCCTGTGACTGGAAGAGTCCCTTCTCTCTCTGTAGAAAGAAACTGGGGCAGACAAAGAACTTTGCCTCCCAATCTAGTCATGTCATTAAGAGCAGTGATCTCAATCCTTAGGGTAGATCTTTGTGGACCCAGAGATTGATTGACGGGCACTTTCTCCTCTACCCAGCAGGCTGGAAGAAAAGGGGTATAAGAAAGAAACTTTCAGAGTTCCTCATAACAATCTTAAGGGCAAAGACCTGTCTGCTGAGGATTAGGTTCGTTTGTGCCATACTCACAGAATCAGCAGCTCAGACTCCTCTGTCAGTGAGGGATGGGGCTGAT